CCACAGCATAAACGAATATAACACATCTTTAAATAATATTCTGCAATGCAACCCTCCTCCCACCCATGATTATTATTAATGTACAGCTCTGTAGATCAGAGTTCTACCACAGGTCTCACTAGGTTCAAATTAAGGCCCTGACAAAGCTGTTCTCTTTTCTCTAGGCTCTGGATAGACACACTTCCTTAGTTCTTCCCCTAGAACGAAGGTTTTCAACCTTCCTAATGCTGCAACCTTTTACTGCAGTTCCTCCGGTTGTGCTTACTCTAAGCCCGTGTTCTAAAAGACGTTTGTACCTCAAACGGGAAGAGGAAGGCTTGGAGACAGCCTCTGACCCCTGCTTTGAGGCACTGTAAAGGATTTCCTAAGGCCAGCTGTGGTGTTCACAAGTGCTGAACTTGACCCTGCACATCGGCAGGAAGACCAATAGATCTGGGGACTCCAGACCTGTTTCTGCTTTTTGGTCTTGGATGAGCCATCGCCTATTTCTGGGTGTGCTTATGTAAGGCTCACACACATTCCTTTTTTAGGGTTCCTCCAAGCAGACAGGATGCCTCTGTAATTTGGAATGATAGAACAGATTCAGCCAAGATAGTCAAGAGGCTGAACTGGACATCTTGAAATTCTTCATTGTGTGCCATGGTTCAGACTCAGATGCAGGGTTCCTTCCAAGGACCTCAGCCTGGGCATCTGCCCCTCTGGTTAGTGCCGTTCTGCTGACTTCCTGGTTCTGACTTCCTGGTTTGGGTTTATACTCTGGGAAACCCCAGCCATCCCCTTTATGGAGAAAAATAACTTGCCTAGAAAGCCATCTGAGTGATTAGACACAGTCGCAGAACAGAAAGGCAGAACTTCACAGGAGACTTTCCAAGAAGCGTGACTGTGAACAGCACAGCTCTTGGATTTGTTCTGAGATATATGAGCTGTATCTGAATATGCATGGGTCTGAGGTTTAAAAAAATAGAAAAAGAAGAGGAGGAGGTACTCAGAGAAGGAGCTGTCCACCAGGGTTAATTATCCTAATTTTATTTTACATTTGAAATCTGCTTAATGATAAATTTGGTTTTGCGTGGGGCTAGCTGTTAGAACCGGGAAGCAACGATTCTCGGGCTTTCGGGGACAGGGGGCCCTTGGCATGAAGGTCCATTTCCTTCCTCACCCTCTCCTGACCCTGCCATGTCCTTAGCTGAGAGAGTGTTTTTTAAGAGAGAGAAAGAGGTGGAAAGAAATCATAAGGGACAAGTCCAGGGTGACAAGATGCACCATCCATCATGGCTTCTGATTACGAACAGTTGGAGCCTTCTCTTTACACTGTTTTTTTTTAATTAACCTTTTTTCATTTTTCCTACTTTAGATTTTCACATTATAGTCCTTTGTTCATCCTCTTCTTTCCTTTAGATAATGAAAATGGATCTAATATGAACTTAAACTCACTTGCCCTGGGTCATTGCCAGTGCTTAATAAACTGTATTAGTATTTGTAGTAATGATAATAACCCACAGATAATGATGTCGCTAAAGACCAAAGGGTCCCCTTGTGTGAGACACCCCTGCTTCCAGTTACCCAGCCTTGCCGGATTGAACAGGGACCTTGACTGCCTCAGCTGGTCATTGTCCCCTTTAAATGACAAAGGTTTCATGGAGACAAGCATTCTTCACTTAAGGCTTTTCCAGACGGTCTGATGTGCCGGGCTCCGGATAACCTTGTCGCCATGTCACCATACGTCATCCTGCCTCTCAGAAAATTGTTCCCTGATGTTTGCAAAAATGAACTACTTAAAAGAAAACTAAAAGAGATTCCCTTTGTGCGCTGAGCACACACTTCACGATTGGGAATGGTTACACTCAGGAGAGGGGGCGGGGCGGCTGTTCCGGGACTTGGTCTGTGTGGGGCGAGGCACCGTGGAAGGAAGAGAGGAGACCCAGCAAAAATCTGAGGACGTGTGGAAGGGGATTTGGCCTTTCATAGGTGGACCCATGGGGTACCAGGAGTAGCTAGTGCATGGTGTAAGAAGCCAGGTTTGGTACCATCTGAAGTAAGACTTTAGCTTCTGGAGGAAAAAAAAAAAAAAGCTTACCCTGAAAAATGACAAACTCCCTGTCCTTGGTTGCTCAGGCAGAAGTGGGTCTCCTGGGACTCTTGACAGGGGACTTGAGGGTCCAGCGATGACTAAGTCACTTGAAGGTTCCTTTGGACCCTGACAGTAACGGTGGTTCTTTAATAAAAAGATTTTTATTTCATATCATGTATATGGGTGCTTTGCCTCCACGTACATTTGTGTACCACACAATGGCACCCACAGGGCCAGAAAGAAGGCATCAGATCCCCTAGAACTGGAGTTACACACAGTTGTGAGCTGCCATTTGGGTGCTGGGAGTCAAACCTGGGTCCCCTGGAGGAGCAGCCAGTGCTCTTAACCACTGATCCCCCTTTCTTTTTTTTTTTTTGCTTACAAACTGTATGGCTGTGGCAGGCTTCTTGCTAACTGTTCTTTTTTTTTTTTTTTTTTTATTTTTTTTGTGATAT